ATGGCCAAGCTGCTTGGCTACCCGCTGGAGCGGCCAGGCGACGGCGGGCGCGCGAAGCTGGGGAGGAGGTGGAAGGGCATTCGAATACGACGCAGAGGGCGAGGAAAAGGAAAAGAGCTGAGGGGGGGAACGAGGAGTGGAGTGGAGGGAGGAGGCAGGAACAGGAAACAAATCAAGTCTGAAGGAGGAGGAGGCCGAGGCAGAGGAGAAGACAGTGGAGGGGGTGAGCAGGAAGAGAAGCAAGGCGGAGAAGGAGGAAAGGGAGGATGGCAAGAGGATGCGAAGGTCAAGATGAGAACGAGACAGACGACCACTTGCGAGCCAATGTCCTTTGTCTGTGACGGATGGACGGATCAGTAGCTCGTGTATTCCACTGCGGCCTAAGTGAGGAGGGCGACAACCCGTTCCTCACTTGTGCCGCGAGAGCGGAGGCTACGAGCTAGAGGGGTGAAGAGGAAAAGGAGAAGCGACGGGCAGGGCGGGCCGCCTCCTCAGTCCTCCATCCTACTCCTGTCTCCTCACTCCTGATTCCTCCACCTCCTTCATCCCCTCACCCCATCCATATTTAACTCCTCTCACTCCTTCCATCCTCACCCCTCGCGCTGAGGCTCAAGCTCACGAGGGCCGCGACTTCTTCAGCGCCCAACCATCGAACTCGGAGAGCGCCATCTGCCGCTTGCCAGGCGGCGGCGGAGGCGCTGCGCCGCCGCTGTTGAAAACGTTCACCGTCACCCCAGCCGCCGCCGCCGGGACCGTCACGCTGACAAGGAGGTGCGGGCCCTGCACCTTGCCACTCCAGCTCCAAGCATCGTGGCGCCGGTAGAAGCTGACAGCCATGTCGGGCGGCAACTGGTTCTCGCGCAGACTCTCGCCGCCGAGGCCACTAGCGGTGCCCCACACCGTCCTTACCTTTACCTCGTCGAGCGGCGCCTCGGACACGTCGGAGGCTCCGTCCTTGATGTCTGGTGGCTGCTCGGCTGCTGAGGCAGAGCTGGCGGCTGCTCGGCTGGTGGCTGCTGGCTGGTGGCGCCCTGCTGGTGGCTGCTCGGCTGGTGAGCTGGTGGCTGCTCGGCTGGTAAACTGGTGGCTGCTGAGCTGGTGGCTGCTCGGCTGCTCTGCTCGTGGCTGCTGAGCTGGTGGCTGCTCGGCTGCTGGGCTGGCGCCCGCACTGACCCTTTTGGGAAGCTGCCACTCCGCCCACTCGTACATCCCCATGATTCGCATCAACGGGCAGAGGGCCCTGCCCACGGACGACACCGCCATGCTGTTGCCAACAGCAGCGTGCACGGCGCCAGGCGGCAGGGTCGAGAGGAGGCTGTCGGGCCTGAAGCCCATGGCGGAGGCCTTCTCTCCCGCCGTGAGGTACCTCCCAGCCCCTGCTACTCTGCCTGGAGCGCTGCCTACCACCCATAAGTACTCGTTCCGTGTTGTTAGACACGGAAGAGCGCCAGGCACCAAGATCGGGCCGTAGGTCTTCTTGGGATCGCGGGTGAGGTCCGCTACTGCAAGCTCGCACCCCGTCTTGTTCTTCAGTTCTGTGAAGAGCTCGTTGTAGGCCTGCGCAGGCCAAGTGTCCATTTCAACAATCAGAAAACTTCCTCCATGATCCCCCATCTCCGCCTCCCTCCTCTTCCTCGTCCCCCTCCTTCCTTATTTATGTATCCGCTCCACTTCCCGCCTCCGACCGCCTCCTCCTATGTCATCTTCCATCCGCTTTGCATCCAAGCTCCACTCCCCCCCCCTCCACACCCTAACCACCTACTGGCGCGCCTCGACGCTGGCGAGAAGGCCCGGCGCGGTTGGCAGCGGACCCGCCGCCAAGTCGCCCTTCACCTCCAGGATGTCAACCAAGCTGACTGGATCCTCAGGGCGCAACGGCCTCAGCCACGAGCCCTCGCGCAGCAGAACGGACGATACCCCTGGAGCGCAGGAGGCCCTCTCCAAGATACTCTTGCGGATGCCAACGATGAAGACCCGGCTCCTGTGGCACGGCACGCAGTCCCCGATGGCGTCCACTTGGTGCCAGTTGACCTCGAAGTCCTCGCTCGGAAAGCAAGCGCAGGGAACGAGAGCAGGGGGAGATGACGAGGAAGGGGGTGACCCCTCGGCGTTTTGGCGGGCCTTTGCACCACCCCCAAGGGGGGCAGGCAATGGCCGAGGAAAGGATGGAAACCCTGCAGGGCGCCACAGGCCTCAAAACGGAGGTGGAGAAAAACCTCACAACACTGGGCACATAATGTCCGACTCCCTTTCGGTCCGGCAACTTCTCAGAGAGCCAGGGCAAAAGCTCGGAGGTCAAGAATGAGGCCTTGCCGTGCTGGCGCCTCGCGATGCCCTGGACGTTCTCCAGGAGGAACCAGCACAGGCGGTTGCCCGCCAGCCACTCCAAGAGCTCTTTCATCTTGCAATACACCTACGGCTTAAAGCAAACAAAAAAGGAGGAGAGAAGAGAAAGGAGCGGAGGAAGGAAGACTTGCAGGGAAGGAAGAGGGGGGGAGGAGGAGAAGGAGGAGGGTGAGGAAGAGGGAGGGGGAGGAGAAGGAGGAGGGGGGAGAAGGAGGAGGAGGAGGAGGAGGAGGAGGAGGAGGAGGAGGAGGAAGGGCGCCCCCCATCATCAGCTACAAGGCCCAGGCAATGACAACAAGGCCCCGCCACCTCAGCCCCTCGACTCGAGACGTCCAAGTCGGTCGCCGTTGTCGCCATCCATCTGTCGCGCCCTCGTCCCTCGTCCCCTTGTCAGCCCTCTCCCCCCTCCTCTCGTCATCCGTTCGATCCACCACGACATCCTCGCACTCTGCCTCCTCTAGCTTGCTACTCCAAACGAGGCCTAATGACCCCCACCGAGCCCGCGCGGGGCCCTCCAAGACCCAGCGGTATCAAAGCCCCCCCACAGACGACCTGACAATCCTCAAGGCCCCCCTCCCCCGGCAACAGAGCACCTGGGCTCTCTCGTCCTCCATGCCAGCCTTCTTGCCCAAGAAGCTCCAGGGCGGGCATGGGAACCCGCAGACGAAACCCTCGCTGGGGACGAAACCCGCGGGCCGCCCTGCCGGCCCCTCCACCAGGCCGTTCCTGATCCTCAAGTTCAGGATGTCGCCAGCGACCTGGCGGCGCGGAGGGAGGAGCCCCGCCCCAGCGGCCAGAGGGAGGATCAGGGGGAGAGGGGGATGAGAAGGAGGTCGAGGAGAAGGTGGCGGAGGAAGTGGAGGAGGAGAGGGTGGGTGATGATGAGGAGGAGGAGGAGGAGGATAGAGTAAGGGGCGAGCGAGGGACGGAGGGATCTCCACTCCACCCCCTTCCCTCCCTTCCAACCTCCCTCCTAGGAACGTCATCGATCCATTATCCTCCTCCTCCTTGCCCGCCGTCCTCTGACCCGAGTGAGGCCTCATGAGGTGTCTCCAGGATCCTCATCCATGGCGTCTGCAGGATCCTCACCCATGCGGTCTTCAGGAAACAATTCGCGACTAGCGGTGTCGAGCTCACTGGGCTCATCGTCGAGGTCGGTCCAGCTGGGCGGGCTGGGCGGTCCAGGTGGCGGTAGCACGAACCGCGGCACGACGTAAAGTGGGACGCAGTCCCAGTTAAACACGGATTCCACGAGTTCTACCCAGCGCCCCTGAGATAAGTCGAAGCCCGCCATAATGATATCTCGAGCCGAGATCTCACATGCCTCGTTGATTGCGGAGCCCCACGCCCCCTGAGAGGACCGAGGAGGAGTGGAACGAGAGCCGAGCTCAGGGTTATCACCGAGGAGGATGGAGGAGAGGATCAAGGATCGATACAGCACCACAAACCGTAAGCTAATGCCACGCTCCAGGGTGATGACCGAATCGAATGTTGCCGGCGTGGCATGCCCCAAGGCGGACCTGGGACCTCAAAAAAACTCTGCCTGGGAACAATCGACCTATTGCTCGACAGGCCCATCCCAAGGGGCCATCTCTCCGTCGACCTCCATTCCCAAGTTGCCGTCAACGCGGCGAGCCGAGAGGGGGGCAATGGGAAGCAAGGTTTCTGACAGAAGCGCGAGCGCAAATCCCTTCGACTGCTCGTCCGCATCATCGATAGTTCTACCAGCGATGCTCAGCAGCGCGCCTCCATCGAGGCGGAGCAATTGAATCTTAGCCCTTGCCATCGAGTAGGTATGTTTCTGCCCTATGTGCCTCTGGTCCCCCTGCGCTCGCCTTTCAGGAAATCGAAACTCGGCGGTGGACCCACCCACGATGGCATAACGGCTGTCGCCCATTGACGAAGGCTGGCTCTTGAGCTGTCGAGCGCCAGCACAGAGAGCACGAACTGTATTAGGAGCTGGATACCCACTACCAGCTACAAGCGGCAACAATCGAAAACTGAAGCCAGCGTCGAACAAAGGCCAGACGAGAGATAAGCAGAGCGCCAGGGCCACAAAGTGGAGGATAGAAGATGAGGCGGATCGAGCACGGTGAGAAGGGGAGACAGAAGGAGATGGAGAGGTCATTGCACGAGGAGGCAGCAGGATAGAAAGGGAGGCGCGCCAGCAGCAGCAGAAGGAGCATCTTGACAAGGAAAGGCTGGACGATGCGGAAAGGTCAGGCAAGCAGAGACGAGGGAAGAGGAGGGAAGGGCGAAGGAGGGAGAGAGGCTGGCCAGACGCGTAGGAGTAGAAGGGCAGGAGGAAGCGGGGGTGGAGGCGGAGGAACAGGAGGCGGAGAGAGGGACGGGAGTCATGATATCCTCATCGCCCCCCTCTGTACCCCTGCCCTCCTCATTGCATTCCCTTGCTCCCTCTGCCTTCCCTTCGTCGTCGTCCTCCTCCCCCATGGTATATCCCCCCTCTCTTCTTCTTCCTCCCCATCCTCCCCATCCCCTCTCTTTCTCTCTATCTCTCGCCACTCACCCTCCATCATATTGCGTCTCCCTCCTGATATCCACTCCTCGGTTGGATGGGGAGGGGGAGAGGAGACTGCTGAGCTGCGCGGGCCGCGGGCCCGTCGAGCGAGCGGGCGGCCTGGTGCGCGCCTCAATCACCGATCGCCGAGCTCCGCGAGCTTGTCCCACCAAGTCTCGCACGGCGAGCCCTTCACGGCGCTGTGCGCCTCCATGGCGCTCGCCACGCTCATGCGACAGGTGGACAATTCGCCCTGCCACCCCGCGCAGAACCCCCACCGCATGCCCTGGCACGGGACAGGCCGAAAAGTGAGGTACACGAAGCCGGCGGGCAAGACGGCCAACGAACCTTCGCGGATGACCATGGCGAAGTTGCCCTGCTCGCGCGCCAACTGAAGGAGCCCTGCACCAGGAAGGCTCTTCAAGAAGCCAACGGTCTCGGCCAGGGAGTGCTCCTGCTTTGCCTTGACGCCCACCACCACTTCTTCTCCGCCAGTGACGACCCTGACCTCGCTGAGGCCATGCGAGGAGGGGCCCGCAGAACAGTGCCCGGCTGGGATCGCATAGATTTGAACTCCGAAGATGTGCTTGTGGAGAGCCTGGTCCTTCGGCGTCACCGGCACGAAGGCGCTTCGGAAGATAGTCTGGCCATTCGCCTCGTCTTTCACCAACCCCCTCAGCATCATGAGGATTCCAGGCTGAGACGCTGCCCCAAAGGCGGGCGCCGCGCCATCGCTCTCCCAGGACATCACCTTTTCCTTGCGCCATTTGGCCAGCGGCTTCCAGTCAGCTGAGGAAAGCAGGGGATCCAGTGAGGCCTTGACGTCGATGAGGCAAGCGTTCTGGAAGTCGAGGTTGCACAACGAGTTCATCACTCCTACAGGTGCGTCGTGGATCGTAGCTTTTACCATCGTCAGCGCTGGGCGGTAGTCCTGCGTCTCGCCAATGTCCAGAATCTCTGCCCTCTCTCCAGCCTTGCGTTTCTTGGAAGAGGCACCGCCGCTGGCGGCCTTCGCGAGAAGAGACCGACAATTCTGCAACATCTTCGCTGTCAAGACCTGGTGGCAACAATCTTTTTTTCTGTTCGGCAGCGATCTTCTTGAAGGCCTCTTTCACACCAGCGACAGACAAGTCCCAAGCCGGCGAATCGATGTGAGCACAAAGCTTCGAGATTCTGGCTTTGACATTATTGATCTCATCCTGCGCGGCTGTGGAGAGGGCCTCAAGCTTGTCTTTGAAAGGTTTCCATGGCTCTCCATCTAAATCCGTCGCTGAAATCTTAGATTTCATGTATTCGAGCACGTTGATTCCTTCCGATACCTGGTTCTCCAAGGCGCTCACCAAGGAACTCTGAAGACGATCCGCCAGCTTCAAGGTACCGAGGCGGACTGTGACTGGATTCACCTTGGCCGCCGCAGCATCCTTGGCCAAATTTTTCGCCTCGATGTCCTCGAGCGCCTCCATGTGGGCCAAGACCTTCTCCTTCTCCGCCCTCGTAGTCTGATCCTCGATGAAGCTGCCGAGCGCGCCGTGAAGCTGAGGGGCACAGTCCAGCGTGCCTCTGTACACGCTCTCCAGGAAATCCTCAGGAACAGCAACGTGATCGCGATCCTCCCCTTGGCCGTGCGACGCCCTCTGGCTCTCCTGGACCGCCGTCAACGCAGCGCCAACGTTCGACGTCATGCTCTGCAAGGCCGTGTCCAGCTCCGTACCAGTGAGGCTCGACGAGCTGCTCTTCGTCAATGACGCCGTCGTCCCCTTCGTCAGCACAGCGTCGTCGATCTCGCCCTGGTACTCCGCGATGAGGTACCCTCCTGGGCGCCGCGGGTCGGGCTTCACCGTGTACTCACGGCTCATGCACCGCCGACGGAACTCCAGCTGCTGGTCTTTCGGGTTGGTAAACCCCTCCAGCGCCAAGTCCCGCCTCACCAGGGTCCACGGCTTCCAGTGGGTGCGCTCCCGATGTTGATCCTCGACCTTGGTCTCCGTCGTCGTCACAAGCGTGAGCATCTCGTGCGCTTCCTCGGGAGGCATGGCAAAGCTGGAGGTGGAGGGGCAGGAGCGGGAGGAGGGGGGAGGCGGGAGATGGGGGAGGGGAGGAGGGAACGAGGGGAAGGGAGGACGGGGGGAGAGGAGGGGGGAGAGGAGAGGGAGGGAGAAGGGCGAGAGCAAGAGGAGAGGAGACAAGGCAAGAGAGAGGAGGACGCGGGGGAGTGAAAGGTGGGAAAGGGGGTGCCAGGTGAACGAGCTACGGTGAGGGTGAAAGGGGGTGCGGGGGTGCGGGGGCGCCAGGTGAACTACGACGTGAACGAGCTCAAGGTGGGAAAGGGGTGCCAGGCGCCCAGGAGTCGGGGGCAGCATAGTGGTGGTAGCTTTCCTCCTCCTCCTCCTTGTCCTCCTCCTCCCTCTCCTCCTCCTCCTCCTCCTCCTCCTCCTCCTCCTCCTCCTCCTCCTCCTCCTCCCCCTCATCCTCTTCCTCCTGCTTGCGCCTTTCCCTCCTCCTCCTCCCCCTCACCCCTCGCGCTTCGCATCCATCCTCATCCTCATCGTCCTCGCTAGCTTTTCCTTGCCATCCCCATCCCCCCTCTTCCCTCAGCCTCCCCTCACAACCTCATCATCCCATCTCCTCTTCCTCGCCCTCCTACTCCCTTTACAACGCCATCCGTTGTCCGGCACGGCTGTCTCCCGATGGTCGATGTACCACTGCTGCTGCTCCTTCGCGCTCTTCTCGGTCCACCAGGGCTTCAGCTGCTTGTTCCGCTTGAACCTGCGCAGCAACGTGCGGCTGTTCCCATAGCATTTCTCGCACAGATCGCGAGCGCATTTGCGAGAGTCGGCGTCCCGCACGCGCTCGTCCTCTGCGAGCTCCAGGCCGCACTTCCGGCACGTGAAGGCGCCGCTGCAGCTGCCTCCTGCGCCCTCGCCAACGGGCTCCACGCCATCGAAGTTGATGAACACAGGCGTCGCAGTCCCTCCAACTGGCGTCTTCGGTCCAGATGGAGGCTGAACTGGTGGCCCTTGATGCTGCTGAACTGGTGGCTGCTGAACTGGTGGCTGCTGATCTGGTGGCTGCTGATCTGGAAGCTGCTGAGGCTGAGGACCTGGTGGCTGCTGACCTGGTGGCTGCTGAACTGGTGGCTGCTGTGGCTGCTGAGCTGGCGGCTGCTGATCTGGTTGCTCGGCCGGTGGCTGCTGATCTGCGGGCTGATGACCTGGTTGCTGCTGATGATCTGGCGGCTGCTGAGCACGTGGCTGCTGATCTGGTGGCTGCCCGCCTGGTGGCTGCTGACCTGGTTGCTGCTGAACTGGTGGCTGCTGATCTGGCGTTTTCTGATCTGGTGGCTGCTGAACTGGTGGCTGCTGAGCTGGTGGCGGCTTCTGAGCTGGCGGCTGCTCGGCTGGCGGCTGCTCGGCTGGTGGCTGCTGTGGCTGCTGAACTGGTGGCTGCTCGGCCGGTGGCTGCTGATCTGCGAGCTGCTGACCTGGTTGCTGCTGAACTGGTGGCTGCTGATCTGGCGGCTGCTGACCTGATGGCTGCCCGCCTGGTGGCTGCTGACCAGGTGGCTGCTGAACTGGTGGCTGCTTGGCGGAGCTGGCGGCTGCTGAGCCGGTGGCTGCCGAGCACGGGGCTGCTGGCGACGCAGCGGCGGCCTAGTGGAAGCGCCCATACTCCCTCTCCCCCCCGCGGAGGAGGAGTGGAGGAGGAGGCGGAGGAGAGGAGGAGGGAGGGAGGAGGGAGGGGGGAGGAGGAGGAGGAGAAGGAGGAGGAGGTGGAGGAGGAGGAAGAAGAGGAGGATGAGGAGGGGGCGGGGGCAGAAGGATCAGGAGGTGGAGGAGGAACAAGAGCAGGAGGAGGAGGAGGGGAACAATGCGAGCACGAGAAGGGATGGGAATGGGAATGCAGGAGAAGGGAGATTCATCATCATTCTAGTGTTTCCCCTGGTGCCCTCCCCTCCTCATCCTCCGCCTCTTTCGGCTCTCCATCCTACTCCTCCTTCTCCTCCCCATTGTCCTCCTGCTCCTTATCCTGCTCCTCCTCCTCCTCCTCCTCCTCCTTGTCCTCCTCCTTCTCCTCTCCTCAAACCCTCTACTTCCTTCCTCTCCCCTTCTCCTCAAACCCGTGGCCTTCTTCTCGGCGTGCAACACCTTGAAGCACGACGAGATGCCCTGCCCGTTGGGCACGGGCGGCGGGAGCTTCTTGCCAGGAGCCATTCCACAGGCCGCCGCTCCGCCGCTCGTCACTGGGCGCCGCCGGGCGCCCGAAGCCAAAATGGCTGTGGACGGGTGGAGGGAGGAGCGGAGGAGGAGGGGCCCGCGCCCGCGCCCAGGACCCCTTGGACCAAATCAAACCAAGTGACCTGGGGCCAAGAGCGGAGACGGTGACCAGGGACCCCGAACATATTGGATGCAGCGAAGCCCTTGCCCACAAACCAGGCATGAACAGCTAAGCAAGGCCCCTCCCCCCTGCCCACTAACCAGGCATGAAACCTAGACGACGTATCAGCGCGAGCCAGGCCGCTGGAGGCAAAACGAGATCCCCCCACGTGCTGATCCTGGCTGATCCCCACACACCCCTGCCTCCACCTCGCGCCGTCCAATTCGACGCCGTCCTGATTCCTGTCGTTCCTCTTCAGCTCCTCACTCTTAGCTACCCCCTTCATCCATTCGTAGTCCTCCCTGAGGCCACCCCTGTGCGCCCGATCGGTTTATCCACCCGTCCTCCTTCTCCTGACCTCCTACTCGTCATCCTTCTCGAGGTCCCTCAACCTCCTGATGACCCTCCTCTTGCTGCTGCTCCTCCATCTCCTCCATCTGCTCCTCCTCCACCCTTCCTCCTCCCCCTGGTGCTCCCCCTCCAACGGCGCCTGCCGGCCGGGGCCGGCCTTCCCGTAGTGCAGGTGGCACTTCTTCGTCCCCATCGACGAGTGGAGCAAGTTGGCAGCCGGGCGCAGGTCGTCCTGGCTGGGGAGAGGATGGGGGGCGGAAAGAAGGGCGGCCAGGATGAGGTGGATGAACCAATACACAGACACGTACGCGATGCATTGCAGACAGAAGCCGCGGCGATTATAGGAGGGCCAGGAAAAGAGAAGGATGGGGCAAGGGCGAGGAGGGAGGTGGAGAAGGAGGGTGAAAAGAGGGGGAGACGGAGGAGGGCAGGATGCGGAGGAGGCCACGAATATTCTGGATACCGCAACAAACAGTCAGCAGGACCAAACGATCAACAGGAGGCTATACAGGAGCGTCAGCAAGACAAGGCGCTTTGCATGGCAAGCGTCATTACGCGGGAAGCAGCTGAAGAAAACACAAGAAGAACGCTGTCCGAGATGTCGTACACGTTCACAGCGCACCACGGCCACTGCGCCTCCAGCGCCGCCCTCTCAGGGGCGCCGATGCCTCCCCTGCCCGAGGTCGCGCGCGCACTGAGAGCCCACCTCGCTCTGACTCTGACTCTGCATTTTCAAAATCCACGGGTTCATTCCAGGATATCCGATCGAAACCGGGCCCGTTGGGCCCCCCCCAGGACAACGGATCGGGCCCTGAAAACAAAAGAAAAGCTGGATCATCACTACATTGTGAATCCGCCCGCCTCTGCATCGATACATGTGCGACGAACGCAAACAAGGGGCTACCAATGATGCATATATCGAGAGGTTGCTCGCGATTGAAAGCTGGGCTGCCTGTCTCCAAAGACCAGAATGCGTCGAGTAGAAGTGTGATTCCCACGAAAGCTTGCAACCTACGAACACAGCACCCCCCCTGTCCAACCAGCACACAACAGCGTCACGCGCATGGGCGTGAGCGGGCGCCCGAAGTCGGGGTACACGGAGCGAGCAACCCAGGGGGCGCCCTTGCGGACGCAACAGTCTGGAAGAAGAACGGCGTCGGGCCCTCGGGCCAAGGGCATGGCGGCACGCGGCCGTGGGCTGGCGGCGCCCACGGCCCAAAAGGGGCCCGCCCAGCGGTGGAGGGGGCGGGCCAGACGCCCCTCAGCCACAAGGGCTGCAGGCGTTCAAGAGGCCTCAACAGGCCAGCAACGCCAGGCCCATCCACGACGACCCCCTTCCAATGCGCTCGTGGGAACGCGCTCTTTCGAAGAAGCCCTGAAAGAAATCCACCCCTGCTGAGACATATCTCCAGGAGTGCACTCGACGTCCCAAGATCAATGCGAAACAACCTGGCAAGGACCAGGAACACCAAACGGAAGATGAGAAACAGAGAGAGAGAGAGAGAGAGAGAGAGATAGAGGAGAGAGGCGCGACGATAAAAGAGCGAGGGGGAGGAGAAAGAGAGATGGGAGAGAGGGAGCGCGCACCAGGTGGGGAGGAGAAAGAGAGAGGGAAGAGAGAGGGAAGAGAGAGAGAGGGGATATGTCGAGAGAGAGAGAGAGAGAAGGATAGCAGGTGGCTTCACTGACTGTTCCTCGACCCTTCCTCGATCCTCACTCCTCGACGCGCTGCTCACCGACCCTCCGATGTCTCTCAGGTGCCGCAGTTTGCTTCCCTCTGCGCCTCGAACCAGTGATTGCCAACGCCTGAACTACAACGAAGGACCAAACTTGAAATCAATCCTCCTCGCCCTCCCAGGCCTCATCCCCGACCATTCCCGACCACCCCCCGACCACCCCCCGACCACCCCCCGACCACCCCCCGACCACCCCCCGACCACCACCCCCCGACCCCCCCCACCCCCCGACCACCCCCCGACCACCCCGACCGACCACCCCCCCCCCCGACCACCCCCCGACCACCCCGACCACCCCCCGACCACCCCCCGACCACCCCCCGACCACCCCCCGACCACCCCCCGACCACCCCCCGACCATCCTCGACCACCACTCGACTACGCCAGACCACGCCCCACCAATATTGCCAGGCACCATCCGCAGACATGGCGACGCCGAGGTCGACGACGTGCCCGATCAGGGAAGAATGTAGAGCGAACGAAGCGATGGAGACACGACCAGCGATGAAGTCGACGACGAGGACGACATCGACGCATCCGACGACAACATGAACGACGACGGCGGCGACAACGTCTGCCAACGACGACGATGACGACGACGTCAGGCGCAACGCCGCCTAGATTGCAAGACGACGACGTAACGATCAAGGCGACGGCTGACAACGACGACGACGACCAGTGACCAGAGCGCAAGAGAGAGCAAGCATTTCAGACTCCGCTCGGGTAGGTCAGGCGACCCCAACTCCGCCCTCGCCGAGGAGTCTGAAGGCCTCCATCACTTCAGCGTCGTCAGGCCTGCGGGCGCGGCATGGGGGGGGGTGTCGTCGGCAGCGCGGCAAGGGAAGCGCATGCAAGTGGAGGGTTGGAGGAGAGAGAAGACGACGACGTCTGATAACGATGGCGCGGAGGCAGGGGGAAGACGACGACGTCTGATAACGATGGCGCGGAGGCAGGGGGCACGACGAGAGCAGAGGGATGAATACGATTTCTGATCACGACTTCTGATAGTGGTGGCTGCGATGGCAAGGATAGGGATAGGAAGAGGAAACACGCTTGCGAATATAACGAGGGAGCGTGGTGAACGATGATTGCGACGCAGGCAGGGCGAACGTGGAGGGAGAAGAGGAATGAATAGGTCGGTAGGTCGGTAGGAGGAGGACGTAAGATGTATGCCGAGGTAGGGTGGATGGAGGACCGAATGAAGAGGTCATTTCAAAGGCGACCGACGACGGACACTACGGCGGCGACGATGACCGATCATCAGGCACGTGATGAGTATGGTGGTTACGACCGCTACGAACGATGGACGATGACAACAGTGATGACAAGATGGCAAGTTGGCACTCGCTCGGGGACCTCGAGCATGGGTGTGCACGAGGTGCAAGTCCATCGCGGTCCGAGCATGGGGCGGCACACGGGCCGCGCAAGCTGGCCAAAGGCGAAGACGCACGGGCCGCAGGAGCCAGCTAAGGAGCGGCGGAGCAGTGCTCAATCCTCCGCGAAGATCTCCCGAAGCTCCTGCCTGAGCGAACAGTCGGTGACATCGCTGGGCGCTTCGTCAGCGGCTTGCGATGTCTCCGTGGGCGACGGCGGCAGCGCGGTCCAGCCCTCCGCGGTTTTGACAACGGCAACGGGCCTGGGCAACGGCGGCGTCTTCGGGACCCCAGGCAAGCGGAACCTCGGCTCGTTGAACACATCATCACGCGGAGGCTGCGGAGACTTCGGCTGCGCAGCACGTGGCTGCTGATCTGGTGACTGCCCGCCTGTGGGCTGCTGACCTGGTTGCTGCTGAACTGGTGGCTGCTGATCTGGCGTGTCGGCTGGCGGCTGCTCGGCTGGTGGCTGCTGTGGCTGATGAACTGGTGGCTGCTCGGCCGGTGGCTGCTGATCTGCGAGCAGCTGACCTGGTTGCTGCTGAACTGGTGGCTGCTGAACCGTCGGCCCCTGCATTTCGGAGACGTCCTCGATTGCGAAGGGCGTGATGTCGAACGCAGGCGACGTACCCTCCGCGACCCTGGAGACGCACACGAGCCGGCCACTCTTCGCGATTTTCCTAGGAGGGGAAACAGCATCGGGATCTGGATGGAACGCTTCCAACGCGGCCTCCGTGATCGCTGGCAAGGTGCCCGACCCCGCGTCGACGACTTTGGAGTTCGCGATGGCGGTCGGCAGCGGCGACCTCGAGGCTCCAGGGGCGGATGAGTGCATCAACGAACTTCCTCTCATCCACCATCTCCTCCACCTCCTCCTCCTCCTCCGCCTTCTCCCCCTTAGCCCATCCCCCCTCCTCGTACTACTAGCCTCTCCCCTCCTTCTCCTCATCCTCCTCGTCCTACTCCTCCTCCTCGTCCATCCAACTCCTCCTTCTCCTCCTCCTCGTCCTGCTCATCCTCCTTGTCCTCGTCGTCCTCCTCCGCCTTCCCTCATCTTCCTGCTGCGATTGCACGCCCAACGTGGAAACGACCCAAAGACCCAAGGTGACCTGGTCGGGCTGCTCAGCGCCATCTTGCTGAATGACGGGCTACCCTTCAGACCCCCCTGAGAGCAGGGCAGAGGCGCGGGGCGGAGGTCACCCACGCTGTCGTCGCCCTGAGGGGCAGGCCATCGGTCGCGTGCTCAGCCAACCCTGACCCTGCCCCCACCTCCCACCCCCACTGTCAAAGGAAGGACAGCGGGTGCGAGGGCAAAGCTGACCGAACACGGACCACCCCCAGGACAGTTACAATGGGCCATCAACCTACATCCCCTTGCCCCTGCCCTTTGCCCTCCGTGGGATGCTCCTTCTTCCAGGGGCTCATGTCGCTCAACGCCTGGCTGTCCTCTTCGCCCTGGGTGTCGTGCAGCGGCGGCGGCGGGTAGCTGCCCGCGGCGACGTCCGAACCCGAAGGCGACGGCACCTCGGCGCGCAGACGCTTGTCCGCGGGCGACCTGCCGAGCTGGCCCAGCGCCGGGCGCTTGTCGCCAGAAGACGTGGACATGGCGAGAGAGAAGCTGAAGTGAATGCAATGGGGGCGACGCCAACGCGGCCTTGCGGCGCACCCCTCTCTCGTGGGCCCTGCAGAGGGCCCATGAGGGAGGGTGCCTCCCTCTGGCTTCCAGAAGGCACCGCGACCCACGAGGCTTCTACCCCCACCATCCCTGAAGCCCGAGCCCGCCGAAACGAAATTGCGCTGGCCCGCCGTCAGCGCGTCTTGAGAGAGATATGGGAGTGGAGTGGACTGCCATCGTCAACGGTGCCGCATGTCATATGTTTGTCATGCTTGCCTTGCTTGCCGTGCTTGCCCCCTTCTCCTCCTCCACCTCTTCGCCCTCCTCAGCCACCAGCCCCATTGTTCGCGCGTGGCGAGTCATCGTTTCCTCGCGATGAGAGGATGAAGAGAAGGAGGATGAGGCGGAGGAGGACGGACGGATGAGGAGGAGGAGCTGGAGGAGGAGCTCGGAGGAGGAGAAGGAGGAGGAATACGAAAAATTGCCATGTTGCCAGCGTCGCGCTTGCCATTGCATCGTGGTTTCCGTCGTCATGATCGTCATTCGTGTCACCGCCATCATGGTGTCATTCACCGTAATGACACCATCATCGACATGAAATCGTCATCATCGTCCGCCGTCGCCAGTCAGTACGACGTGCTTGCCATATCGTTGTCATCATCATCGCTGTCGGCGTACTCTTGCTGCCAAAGCAATCGTCATCGCGAGCGTCGCCGTCGCCACTTGCTGCGTCGTCGCCAGTGGGCGCGAGCAACAGGGGGGCGCCTATGAAGCATGTGTTCCCGCCTCGTGTGGTACCTCTCCCCGGCCAGGTCCCAGGCGACCAAGAACCCGACCACCTCCGCCACGGTGGCGTACTGGTTGACCTGGCAGTACTTGCTGCACGCCCCATGCCTGGCGAAAAACACCAGGAGCGGCGCAAAGGGTGCCCATGCATTTGCAGTGGTTGCAGCAATAGAGGAGAGCGGCAGGGCTCATCAATAGCAGCTGCAGCGGCTTTGGCTGCGGCATCAGCAGCGGGCGCCGCAATTGCGATAGCAGTAATCAGCAGCGGCTGCAGCAGCAATGGCGATAGCTCGGAGCGGGGGCAGAGGAGGAGAGTGTTCAGGGGAGTGGAGCAGAGAGCAATAGAGAGCACAGACAGCGAGCAGCAAGCCGCGCCTGTGAGGATTGTCACTATCAGGGCGCCCTCGACAATGACACGAAATCCACGCTCGCTGAATGCCTACGATGCCGGGAGGCGAGGCGGGCGGGCGCCGGGGGGGCGGGAAGGAAGGGCCCAGACGCCAGAGGCTCGGAAGGGTGAAGGAAAAGGACGTGGGAGGAGAAGGAGAAGGAACAGGGGGAGGAGGAGGAGGACGACGACGACGAGGACGAGGCAGGCGGGGGGAGGAGGACAGGAGGAGGACAAGGGCGGATGGGGGGGAGAAGGAGAGAGAGGAGGAGGAGAAGGACGAGGAGGAGGAGCGCCCTTCCACTCTCCTGCCCACCATCTAGGACTCACCCTTCTCTCACTGCTCACTCTGGTCTCACCTCTCCCCCATCCTCGGTCACATCCTCGACATCCCTCCTCATGTGTTCCTCCTCTTCGCCCTGATTTGACAGTTCCAGGGGTCGCCACTCGCATGGCTGCAATTATCGAAATGCACCCTGCGCTCATGGACGCGCAAAGTAAAACCACGTCGAAACTCTGGTGACAGATCTTCGGGGGGCTGAAGAAGAATCTCAGGAGGCGGCTCAGGTGCCGGCAAGTCCTCCTCATCCGACAAATCACCGAGTGCAGGGTCTCTGTGATCGGGCCCAGGAACCCCAGGTAAGGGCAATGGCGCAGGGTCGCCGCTAGCAGAACCATCCAGGAGTGCTGGCGGCTCATCCAAATAACTCAAACCGTCTTTCAATATTTTCAGAAAGTCCAGGTCCCGAAGTTGGTCGAATCGCGGATGGCTGTGGAGCCTGTCAAGACCTGCAGGCAATTCTAAGAGGCAGCGGTAATACCCGTTCGTTCCAAGAGATCGAATGAAGGGAGCCCCTTTCCTTTGAATTTCATCCTCATACAGCAATGCCAAATAATATGATAATGGCCGCGAGTCCACGCTGCGAGAGAAAGCCCGTGCACCGAAAGCGTGGTCAGCCAAGGGGCCCATCTCTGGCCGCCAACCGCGGCATGCTAACCTCAAGCACAGCAGCAATTTCGACGTGGCCTGCCCATGCTCTGCGCAGGCATTCAATATGCTTCGCGGGCGATCGAGAAGGCGATACTGGCGGTAAGACATTGCCGATTGCTTGACCTGAAGCTCGGGCTCAAGGAGGTCTTCGGAATATGTTACGATGATAGCGCCTGCCCCCTCCAAAAAGGGGACCATGCACATCCTATGCCCAGCCATGGAACAGTCGAACCACCCCTCGCGACGCTGGGACCCCTCGAAAGCGCCACGCTCCACAAGATGCTCGACCAGCCGAACAGCGTCCAATATAGTAGCTGGCTCGCTCACCCCATCTGAAGCGTCCTCAGGGCAACAGGGGGCATATGGGGGTGACAACTTCGATGGGAAAACGCAGAGTGCTTACCCCTTGCCCAGTCCTCAATCTCCCCCCCAAAAAAAACGTTAGACTGATTAGATCACGTACATGGCTCGAAACTCCTCTTTGCTACGTCGCTCATCTCATTTGCTTATTACCCACAAAAAGTGTCAGTGTTCCGTGTCCGTCCCCCATCAACCCTTGCCAATTGCCCCTCCCTTTCGTTTCTGTCATCTCCTGGGTTTTCTACCCCTCCCAGGCCCTGCACCAGTCACCCCCTCGAGTCTGGGCGAAAGACACTTCGATCGATTAGAGGTCCTGGGTGTGAAAAGAGACGGCGGTCAACGCATCTTCAAGAGACGCAATGATAGCATCAGGAAGCTTGTAAGGTGCTCTGTGCTGAGACCCGTCATCCCACGATACTAACGTAGGCAGCCGCTCCACAGTGGCAAGATACGAGGCGTCCATTACCGCAAGTCGAGAAGAACTCGCTACTTCGATGGCCCCACGGGGCCCACCTGCCCTCGCTTCCAGGACAACTATTCCGAATTCGGTTTTGCTCCAGGCCAAATGGGTTGGTCGCAACACCTTCCGTTTGTGCCGCGAGACCGAAACGACCCGAAAGAAAACGTGCGAGTCGATTGCGTCCAAAATATCAATTGGTCTCCCAACGGCGGAGCAAAGGGTCTCGACTGCCAGCGCAAGCGAGGGAAGCTTCGGAACAATGGCGTCGCGGGGTGGCTGCACGGGCGCACCCGCGATGGCCTGCTCGAAGAGTTCCTTGCCCCGGCGCGAATCTCTTCTACCCCCTCTCCTGCATCCTCCATCTTGCACCCTGTATCCTCTGACTCCCGCGCACAGGTCATGACGAGAGCTACAACGTGAGCTCATTCAGGCGGAGAGGGGGCAGGGAGCAAGGAGGCGAGGCGGAGAAGGTGGGGCGGGTGGGTAAAATGAGGAGCGCACGAATAATGTTGGGAGGAAGGAGCAGGGTAAGTCGTGAAATTAGGTGGAAGGTGGGGCGGGGCTTTGAGGGCCAGCCCCAGGGTCCTTGGGAGCACTCCATACCCGTTGAGAATCACCCATCGACGATTGCAGCAGTTTGACCAATGCCATGGTAACACTATCATGCCCGATGGGTCTCACAGCAAGGGCCGAGGTAACGCTGGACCAAATGCCAGTGGCAGCTCTCGCATTAGGCATATCTCTAAACTGGCCAACTGCTGAAAATAAAAATATAAGTCCCCGCTTACCTCGAGAATCCAAAACTTTGATCTGCCATTGGGCGGCTGGAGGAAAAACATGTCTCAAAATAACATCTTCCAAGGCGTGCTTACTCCAATTCGTCACGCAGAATGTCCAAAAACGAGAGCACGATAACAAACGGTTAGACAACTCAGGTCTTTTGAGCTGGTTGTTGATCGTGCGAGGGTCATTGCATTTCGACTTCCACTGCAGCGTCTTGATATGAGAATGTGTTCCCTCAACTCGCCTGGTAATGATTGGCGCGGCGGCGTACTGAATCAACTCCCACTCCAATTGAGGATGGAGGTCGTCATCAGTACTTGCAAAGGCAATAAGGTGCTGGCGTAACGCGTTATCGTCGCCGACCGCAAGATATATCGAAACCCTGTGCAAAGAATCAACCAGGCCAGCGCTGACGGCGCCGTC